CAGGAGTCTAGGCATGCAGGATTTCTCATCAAATTTATTAACGGATTTCTGAGGCCGGAAACAGTCTCCAAATCCAGATCCAGGATTCCACTACTATGTCTACTCATCAAATTTGAAAAAATGTATAAGTTCGCAAGCAACCTCAGCATAAATACAAACACATTAAACGTAGAATAGAATGAGCTGGAGATTCATAACTCAACTTAGGGGAGGGGGGGGGGGGCGGGGGCGCAATATGTTTCTATAACAGTGTACGTGAGGACATAATTGCGTGCTGATAGGTGGAGTACTGCAGTGCAAGGATTTCTGTATCAATTCCTACGGACCGGAACAGGTCGAGAACCAGGAATCCAAGATTCCCGGATTTCTGTCTCAAATTCTTGTTAAATTTACTACGGGACTTGTATGGGCCGAAGCCAGCTCAAAAAACAGGAGGAGCCCAGGATCTCAGAATTTGTGTAGCAATTCTAGTTAGAATTAATCGGGGATTTATATGGACCGAAGCTAGGTTGAAACCCAGGAATCCGGGACCCAACATTTCTGTATCAACTCTAATCGATTTGCGCAATAAGGGAATTATATGGACCGGAACTAGATTAAAAACAAGGAGACCAGGATTTTAGGATGTCGCTATCAGTGAAATAGAACTTGATAGGGAATTTATCTGGACTGGAACCAGATTTAAAGCCACGAATCTAGGCTTCAAAATTCTACTGGGTCCTGGGTTCACCTGAACCAAGCAAAATCCCCAACACCATAGCCCAATGAACTTGTATAAGCTTACTGGCGAACATTTGTGGACGCCACGAATGTTAACAAATCGAGAATCTAACAGTCTACACACAAATTATTTATGTTTTAGATTTAATGTTCTATTGAAGTAACGGAATCTTTCGGGATTTGTGTGCTCCCACTTGGATCTGATTTTTTGATTCGGGCTTAGCTATAAGATTAAATCTTGCCCACGAATGCATGAAAAAATATTCAAGCTCATCCGATTTTGAATTAGATTGTAAGGGTTTGATTTGCTTGCATAAGACAGTAGCGAAATACTATGTTTTCAGAAAGAGGAAATGTTCCGATTACAAGAACATTCCAAAGGGAGCTGTGTGTCTTCTGACAATGTATGTCGCGTGGCTTGATGAACTTGGTTTTTGTTAATCTTGAGCATTTAGTTGTCGTATGCAGAAAGGGAACTCTTTACTGCTTCCCAAGAGGCAGATCATGGGGGGATCGGGTGGGTGAGCGTACAAATCTTACAAAACACCCCCCGCATCAACCGGGTGACGCGGGCGCAGACGTGGCGTCATTTGCACTGGCTGGTGGTGCTGATTTCCTTACAGACCAAAAACCAGCAACAAAGGATCTGCAGTGCACCGAACTTCTGACAAGGTCAGGGAGCTGTGATGAAAAAGACCCAGGCACTGCTTTGACACGGTCTTGTTTCTTGCCATCTGTTTGCATGGCAAGGGGCAGCGGAAATGTAGAAGAAGGAATACTGAATACTGCGTGTTGAAGCTGAAGCTTTGCTGTGCGATTGCTCTGCTTGTTTGCTTACGGTGGCAATAGCTGACTTTGTCACAATATAGCTTTGCATGCTACTACAGGTCCTGTGATCCACATTCTGCGATATTGTATGGAAGAGGGAGAAGGATTGGTTAAACAATGTTAAACAGCAAGGTTCACAAAACAGCAGCTGGCTTCAGGAAACACCCAGCCAATCTGTTCTCCCATTTCCCCCAACATGCAAAATGCTTTTCCCGATGCCCAGTCTTCTGAAATAGTGCGAAGATGTGCGAAGGCGGCTGCTGAATGGGCAAACAGGAAGTGAATTGGGATTCGCACTGGCTCATAAGGATGTCTTATGTGGTGAAGAATCGAAGGACCCCCACTCGCCTAAAGTCCATGTGTTATATTCTTGCCCCATCATGTACTTGCTGGGGAGACATCTCCTGAAGGAGCACAGGATTACAGAATCTGCCCAAGTGCCTCTGAGCTCAAATCCAAGAACTCCAAGAAAGCGCAGCTCATCCAACCTTGGTCCGCCATCGTGCTTTGCCAATTGCTCGTCACGCTTGGGCTTATGCAAAAGCAGCTTGAACCCCTCAGCATGATGCTCGCGCTCAAAGTGCTCCGGCCACCCCGGAGCCCTGCAAGTCAGAAGTGCTTGCTGTCGACATGCAGGCATAGATTGAACATCAAAAGTCACATTGCCTCACAACATGCACATACATGCACCAGGGTGCAGCTTCTCGCGCTTGACTTGCAATCTGTCCGTGCTCTTGATGGTGTGTGGTGGCCCCGCAATGGAAAGCTTGAGGGATGGCGTCAAGTGAAAGTCACCCGGATTCCGAATCACACATGATGCCACTGATGCAGCCAGAATCAAAATACATCAAAATCGCTGGGTCTGGCTATTCCACTGCCCTCAAGGCAAGTGTGAGCAAATCGCGGCTTTTCTGTGAGTTTGGGCCGCGCTTGCAGAAGAGCCGCAAAGCAAGGGAGCTCAATTGACCTCCTACACGAGCCTGAGTGCCTCTGCTTCGCGTGCCAGGATTGGAAGACTCCCCCTGAGGCATTGACTTATTATGAACAATTTGCCTCAGGGGTTTGCAGCGTGTCAAAGCGGGTAATGCGTGACGGAAATCGAAGCTGAGTTTCGAATACACAGGCAACAGCCAGGGGCTGCCAGGGTAACAAATCAGGCCGGAGTGAGACCGAGTTAGGAGCATGCCCGGGTGCCCAAGCGCAGCATTTTGCGCGCTTGCTGGTAAACACGTCGAGATGAATCAGGCAGTATGCTCATTTACCTGCACCGCCTTGGGTGGCCAGTTGCTAGACTGAGGCCCGGAAATGCCTTGCAGAAATCAGCTAGGCACATTGGCATGAAGCTGCATGCTGAAGAACACTTTGGAGCCCGGAAACCTCCCCCCAAAAATTCTGGGCTTTGGAGGGCGCGCGACGACTACGGCAACACCGACTATGAAAATGACTAACCTTAGGACTGCCCACGAGATACCAATGATAAATGATCCCTTTATAAAATGAAAAACATTTGATAGGTGACGAACGCTTTTCATCTTATAGGGGAATATCGGAGGGGGAATGGCTGAACACAACAAATTGAGAAGGTGTTCTGGAACCCGACTTCAGATACACAACCTGCTGGAAAGTGGATATTCCGTCAGATGCAATTGGGTCTGGGAAGCCGAGAATGTGTGAGAGGCATACACAGACACAACAAGCTGGTGAGGCCCAAAGGTGTTTTGGGCACCAATCAATCCATACTGGATGTTCATGTTGGGATCTGTGAGCTTCAAATTTGTTTGGACGCCTTAATTGCATTCGAAGCTCAAAACTGTTCCAAGACTCAGAACTGGCTCAGTTAGCCTGCAGAAGCTGCAATAATTTGAGGGGTGGTTTTGGGATTGCAGGGCTGGCGGGTCCACCAGCGCAGCTCCGATTGGAAACCAACTCTTCCACTTTGTTTAGCTGACAGTTTTCGTCTGTGCTAGAAAGCTGTGGCTGCAGCTTTGCATGTGCAAATGTCGAAAGCAGCAAGCCGCAGCCCTTGGCGTAGCCACAAAACCCACCAACCTTGACTCCCAAAACTCTGAACCCAAACAGCAGGAGAGGGACACGCGGGCAGAGACTTTGCCTCCAACGCCCCTGGCGTGGGGCTTCTGTAGATTTCATTTTGGGTGGGGCGCACTTCGAGGCCTGCATGACATGCCTTCGATGGCCTTGACAGGCTCCCCATCCTGTCGCCACATCACCAACTTCAAGCCACTCACATCACATGGACCCGCCTCCAGCTCCGAGCAACCCGCTGGGCCCGTTGGTTAGGAAAGTTGCAAGTGCGGAAGATGCTTTCATTGAATCTAGCTGGACCAACACGCCGGGCTTGTCGGCTTGCTGTACTGCAAAAAATGCAAGTCTCATATCACCGTCTATTGGATGTGATCACTGATCTGCAGAGCCCCTTCCTCCCAACTGTCTTCACAGCTTTTCAGATTTCTGTAATGCACGAGGCATCGGTGCGAATGTCAATTTCAAGTACTGTCGCCTGCGATGAGCAGAGGCTAAATTCGGCGTGCATACCTCAACGTTGGAAGGTCATGAATTTCCTGTCGGGTCTTGTCTGTCTGACATAGTTGGGCCTTGTTCAGTTGTTGACCCTCGAAAGACACCGCGTACTGATCTATCTCGAATTGCTTGACTTGCCCAATCTCTTTTTGCAACATCATCCAAATGCACTTCAGAAGGGCACCAGTCATGCTGGTCACGCCTTCGATATGATGCCTGGAGCATCTGCGTGCTCCACGATGGGTCCTGGTGTAGAACAACTTGTGGGCAGTGACTTATCTGCTGGCCCGTCTTTGAACTCTCCTCCATGGTTGACTTGGCGGATGTATCGAAGAGCTCCACAATCTTAGCGATCCATACGTTACATCCAGTGCAGCTCTCCTATAGCTCCTGCTTCTAGCCCTTCCAACCCCAGGCGCATCTTCACCCGAGGTTTCACAGCAAAGCTGTCGGCAAAGCTTCGGAGTCACCTGAGGCAGGTTAACACAACTCAACATCTGCATCTTACGACCTTGAATGAAAGCAGTTCCGAACTGGGCCAGGATGCTGGTTAGAGCACAAATCACAAGCCTTGCCTGAAAAGCCGGCCAAACGCTTCTCCCAGACGCAGCATGAGCCTTGCCATGACACATTTTGTCTCTCTGAAGAGGAAACTTGCAGCCAAGGGTGGGGCTGCTCGCATAGCAATCGTCGGAACCAGGCCAAGTTCTTGTGATGCCGAAGTACTTTCGCATTTGTGGGTCTTGTTCACAAGTCAAGTCTGCACCATGATATGACTGGCAACACTCCCAAATGGAACAATCCTTCCCAAGACAGATGTCAGCACATGTTGAGGAGCCCAAACTTCAACACCAGCATGCGCAGAGCACAGCAAAGCGCGGCGCAATCATGATGAGATTCCTTGGCCCCTTTTTCTTTTGCGAAGGTATGCTGGCTCTCGCTTTCTGCACAGCAGAGCTTTTCTGTGGAAGAGGCCATAGGCCGAGCTTTGCTCTGCAAGAATCGAGAAATGTGAAGAGTCGCACGATGTCGCACGCTGCAGCTTCACACGCCTCTCCATGTAACTGTTTCTCTGCGGTCCTTGCAGGGAATTCTTTGCATTTGCTTAAGGGAGATTTTGCAGCCATGGTCTCGAATCAAGTCCATTACGTTTGAAGTGGGCCGTTTGGGTTTAGAGGGGGCTGGGCCTGGGTCTGGCCTTGGGTGGCATTAGTGCTCGAAAAGCAGCACCCAACCCCGGAACTGGCACAGAAAACTCATCAAAGGACGCCAGGCTGATCTCGAACACGAAAATGACTAAAAACAAAGTGGAAGCTATTCGCAAAACTTAAGCTATTCTCAAGCTCGTAGGTCAACCCTTTGGCATTCGCCAGGTTCGCAGCCAGTCCAACAAGCCGCACATAATTGCACTGGAGACATGCTACGCACTCCGCCCCAATACTTACAGCTAAGCCTGAAAACCTCTAGCCCGCAAGCAAGCCAAGTAACACGCCAGGATTGTCCACACCTTTCAGCACTGCTTATTAAACTGGCCCTGCGTTGCGCCTTGCAGGTCAAATCCAGAATGATTTCGAAGGTCCTGACAAGCTGGAGGGTCTGTTCGGGAACCAAAATTCAGTGGATTTCAGTGGTGTGGCTCAGTCTCGCAGCTGGCAAACGCAGCCATAAAGAGACTTCTATCAAGACAGTCAAAGAGTTGCCATGCATGCAAGCCAAGCCGGGACCTACGCTTCTGTCTGCACGCAAAGCTTGCCAAGAAAAGAAAAACATAGAAAAACCACCGTCCTGTTGGGTGCTGGACTGAAAATTGTGAAGGCAACATCAGAGCCTGGGCAGTGTGACCAACAGCTGATCTACTGGCTTGCTAAAGAACAGAGGAAGGGGCCGTTTCCGTGGCCAGGTGGTGAGTTCACGATGACCTGCGGAGCAGGTTTCCATAGCCAAGTGGAATCTCTCCTTCAAAACGTCGAATCCATGCCTCACCAGACAGCCCACATGGGCTCTTGGGAAAGAACACCTCAGTACATGCACCTGTGTCCACTGATTAGGGGGGAACTGCTCTTCATAGCATCTTTCGTCACCCGACTTTGCATTGAGTTTTTTGCACGCTGCATCCAAGGACGGCAGCCACTAACCAAACACCAAGCCTAATGCAGCCCACTCAACCAATCAACCGCTGTGCACAGCTGGACAGTGGGGCTGGGCCATCCTAGGCCTTCATAATTCTCGGCCCGATGCTCCATGAAAGCCCGCAAGCGGAAGAACAGCGGAGAAGCACTCGGCAGCAAGAGCCGCGAATTTGGAAGCGCAAAGCCGCGCCAAGGTTTGCATAAAAACACAGCATTTTTTTTTCGGATGCATTTCCAATACAAATGCAAGCTGCGCGTCCTTAGTTTCCTTTTCGGCAATTCGACCGGCCGCACTTCTTCAAGCTGTTGGAATTGGACTGGGGCCCTTGGTAGTGTAATTGTTCGGAAGTCTGCGACCGAAAAATTCCCGGAACGAACGCCTTCCACGGCTTTTTGACGCTTTTAAGCTTGGGAAGCTACGACAAACCATGACAAACCCAACACAGCTTTGTTTTTGCCAGTTGATTGTTGTGCTTGGCGTGTGCTGGAGAGCGACATCTGCATCCCTGCGCCATCAAACTGGCATGCTGCGCAAAGGGCGATGTTTGCAAGAAGAATGATTGCAAACGCCGCCCTTCATGCGAGGGTTGCGCCCAAAGGAGTGTGAGATGGTGCGGGCAACGTTGCCAACCTTATCTGGTGCAGGCACCCTTCCAAGGTGTTCTCAGGCAGGAAAACGGCCAGCTGAAATTCTGAGTTCTGTTTTTTCTCCCACAGGTGTTTCGGTCCCAGAAATCCTATATGAGATTAGGATTTCAGCCACGCCTTCCTGGCTTTTTCCTCAAGTGTCAGGGCTGTCTGACCATGAAAGGGCCCTATTTGTTGTTTACCCCAGTGCCTTTGGTTACCCCGTGCCGCGAGATGTACTCTGTAACATATGACAAAAAGCTATGATCTGCTCCCTGAGCATGATGCCGGGCATGATCCCTTCACTGGTCCCTATTATAAGCTTCTAGGGCGAAATGAGCTTTATGCTGGATCATGCTCGCTGCACATGCTTGCCGTGCACCGGGATAACTTTCGTTGCTTTTTCCTAGATCCCCCATGTTTCAGCTCTGGCTGTTTTCCTAAAACCTGCGTGAATTTTGACCGAGCAATGCTAAAAACGGGACTACGGAGTCATAATTTTCAGCACCCGTGCTTTGGTGGCCGGTTTGGGACCCCGGACCCTACCATGCTGCCTGGTACAAGAATCAAGCCAAAGACGGTACCAACGAGCAAGCGGGCGCTGCCTCTACAGATTTGAGTGCTTGGGTCGCTCCGCACAGAAAGCAAAATTCAAGCATCTCCTTGTGCATACTCGGAAGGCCTTCGAGCATTGTCAGAGGCGATGGGAGGGACATGGGGACCGTCAACCGCAAATTGGACAAGCTCTTTAATCTCCATACACCTCCACAATAGTGCCCAACAAAATTTTAAAGTTGGATCCTCACTACGGGCCCCTGAAAGCCTCCCGGTTCTGCAGGCTCTTGGGATTGATCTCAAGAGTGTATGGCCGGGGCCCAAAGGGGCTGACAGATTAAAGAGGGCCTC